TGTCATCTTCTAGAAAGATCCCACTGGTGATCATCCCTCCTCGGACCCTGACGTGGTATTTCATCTAGACAAAGTGGCAATTCAACCACAATGCATGTAGAGATGTATTCACAGTGACCAGATCTGTCCAGCCTTACTCTTTTGGCCGCTGATCGGCCCAGGCAGCCACGCAGCCAACATTCAACCAGTCTGCGCGGGATGTACTTTGACCTCGGAGCCAGCACATTACAACTGGCGATTATGGTATTACAGACTACCTAATGATCACGTATGTGAGTACACGGCAACAATGATGCCGCATCAGTTCATCGGCGAGACCGGCGACTTGGGGGGCTTGGTGGCTGTTTTCTCAAGAACTTCCATTCACTCAAGAGCTTCAATAAGGCTACCGAGCCATCCACGAGTGCTTGGGTACTTAGACATGGCCGGCGGATGGCGGTCATCCATTCACAGGTTTGAAGGTATGCTTGGCGTTGGTCCAATGTAATGAGAAGATAGATGCATTTTCCACGCCATTTTAACAACCTTCAGCCAGCCTGAATATGAAGCTAATGGTCGGACTCAGTTCCCTATCCTCCTCCAGAGCAGCCATCATGAAAACTCATACCTAAGCCAATCGTAGAAATTGCAAGCCAGCCCAGCTGGTCTAGGTGTTTTTGCCGTGAACACAACGCATAGAATCCGTCCATTCAACAACCCTCCATACTGTTGCCGTCACCTCTGGTATGACGATCTTGACCACACCGTTGCCCGATGCCCAAGCACCCCTCCTTCGTGTCGCAATCAAGCAGTTCTCCCTCCAATCCGGATTCCCCCTCCTCTTCAATGGCCCATCAGATCCATCAACCCATCTCCACACCATGCAACCATTCCCATGAAAGACAACCTCTCATCTACCACATCTCAGCTGTCACTTTTCGCCTCCCTTTCTCTCACAGCCCTCGCTCATCATGCCATCCCGCGCGCGGCAATCCCTAAACCCGACGCTATGAGATACGTCAGCCGTAGAAACCCAACCCATCAATCACCGCGCGGCATCCGCCCTCGCCGCCTCCTCCTCCAGTTCCGCCTCAACCCTTCGCAGCTCGCTCAGCCCCTCCGCAATCCCCTTCACCTCCTCAGCCGAGGGCCTGACGCAGGGCTTCCGAGGCGCGCCCCCATACTGCTCAAAGTGCCCGATCGCCGCCTTGACACCCACAAACCCCGTCTGGATGGCCACCCAGTCCCCCTTCGCCACGACTGCCTGCAGCCGCCGCGCCTCGGCGAGCCGGCCGTCCGCCGCGAGCTCCATGACGCGCGCGCACGCCCGCGGCGCGATGTTGGCCAGCCCCGCGATCGTCCCGTTGGCGCCCACGACCTGACCCTGCAGGATGAAGTCCGCGCTGCCGCCCGCGACGAAAAACCCCTGCGGCGCGTCGTCCGCCACGCGCGCGAGCTTGCCCGTGTTGCCGCAGGTGAGCTTGATGCCGACCACGTTGGGGTGCTGCGCGATGCGGACGATGGCGTCTGAGGACAGGTCGCGGCCGGAGGCGGCAGCGGGGAAGTTGTAGATGAGCAGCGGGATCGGCGACGCGTCTGCGACCTCGTAGAAGTGCTGGACGATCTTGTCGTCCTCAAGGAGGGTGCTGTAGTAGCTAGGCGGTAGCGCAAGCGCATGGGTTGCGCCGCTTTTGTGGGCGTCTTGGCAGAGCTGGAGGGTCTCGCGGGTAGATTGGGCGCCGCAGCCGGCGATGAGCGGGATCTTGACGTCGTGGCCTTCTTGGTGGATGATATCGGCTGCGCAGCGGATCATGGAGCTGCGCTCCTCGCGTGTGAGGTGGACAGCTTCGCCGTTGGAACCGTGGACCACGATGCCTGCCACACCGGCGTTGATGAGCCGGACGAGGTGGCGCTCGAGGGTGTTGGTGTCGACCTCCTCGGTGTCAGTAAAGAATGCCAGGGTTGGCACGTAGACGCCGTCGGGAAGCCTGGCGCTCAGCGCCTTGGGCGCCCCATAGGATGAGGTTATAGTTGAGGGCGTGGTCATTGTTTCTGTTGACATTCTCGTGATGAGTATGATGTGAGGTTGATGATGAGACAGTCTCTCTCTGGGTGGACGAGCTTCGTGGGCGGACAAGACTTTGAGGTTGCTAACCACAGTTCAGCTAGACAGACACAAGTCTGAGGGATTCGGCCTTTATGGTCGAGAAATCTGTATAAGACGAGTCTTCAGGGGGGCAGCAAGCGGACATAAGGTGTTGTACGGCAAGTGAAGCGTGTCGTTGGTTGAGGTACGTCTTCAACGGGCACATAGGGACTGCCAGCGACGAATCAAGACTCAGAGCCGGGGTCACAAGAATCCTGTTTAAGGAATAAAGACAATGGTGCAAGCCATGGCCAGGGATCCCATGATGTTCGACATGCGGCTTTGCCAAACTTGGCGCAACGCACGGCTGGGCGGCAGCGCCGCGGCGTGGGGGTGGCTACTCATCCACGCCTTGTCCTGCCGCATTCGACCAAGTGGTTGGATGCATGGCTCATGGATGTCCAAGCGGGATGGTGTGGAAGGGTACCAGGTGTGCGGTGAGCTGATTGCATGGCGATTTGCGCATGGTACGACATCACGAGGGGGGGAGATCGTCTGTGAGAGAACTGGCTTGTGGTACTTTCGGGGATACTTGTCCCAGGCATCAAGCAAACTAGTCCGATGTAAGTGGTGCTTGTCGAGCACCAATCTTACCAAATGGCTTCTCCAAGAGACATAGGACAACTTATTTTCAGCTGGACTTTTCATGTTAGCGCCTGAGACGATCAATCCTCTCCAAACTCTGGTAGCTGAGGACACGAATAGATGACCGGGTTGACCGCCGGCCGGAGAAGACGTTTCGGAGCCGCGGGATTCATCCAATGCTCAGGCCCGTCAGCAAGACAAGACAAGCCACCAAACGAAGCTTGTTTGGACCAAATGATTGGCAAAAACAATGCCACTCCGACGTTATTTGGTTGATTTTAGTTTCAGTAGTCTTTAGCTTAGCACGACTGTGCTTTGTTCAATGCGGTGAGCGGCCAACAGTAGCCTAACTTCCCCGGACTGCGACCCCCACGCTTTTTCCAGCGCCCGGGCTCAAGGGAGATTTTGATTTACCACTACACAAGATCAGCCAGCGAATCATTGAATTTGGGTTGTCATCTGTTCCTCCGTACGTCTTTGCTCTCTCCAAATCTGAGAAGTAATACATACGCTCAAGGAGCGGGTTCTCGCGATCTGCCGTAGTACAGACACCGAACAGGGGTACACATGGGCTGTTGAAGGTGCCGAAACCCGCAAATCACGGCCCAGAAGGCCGGGCTCGGCGTTCCACCCCGGCCACTGCATCCCGCACCATCCTGTGCGTGTCCGTCGCCACCGGCCGACGCAAACACCCCTCCTCCCACCACATGACCTTTGCCCCGTCTGCTGATTGACCTATAGAATACGTAGGCGGCCCTCCTAGTCAGAGAAGCCATCTTCCTTGCTGGTGTCTGGGCAGTCAGGAACAAGGCACTGCGCAGCGGTTCTCGGGGTTCATCGGTGGCCGAGACGGTCCTCGGCCGCAGGAAAGTTTGCTCACGTGAACATGCGTGGGGGTTTCCCTTCATAGACATAGTCGTCGAGATCATGTCCAATCTTTGGCATGCATGAGGCGGTGTAGTATCAAAAGTCTACTCTTTGTCTATACTCGTGGAAGACTACTTCATCTCATCCACGGTGATCGGCGATCATAATGGTTGTCACACTTCTACAGACTGAAGTCCTCGGTCGATGAATAAGTATCAATCTTTATTTGCCAATGTTCAAACAGATAATGAGCACAGTTCCTAGCAACTCAATCTCTACCTCCACACCTCCTATGATGCTTACTCAGAGATGTTGAAAGTCATCAATGAGGCATCTCACATCTGGGTAATGCCCTTAGGGCAGCCACCAGTCCAGTGCTGGCAACTGGCAATCCAATCTCCTGTGGGAGAGTAATGGGCGTCGCAGTCCGCCTGGGTGGTGGGCTTGTTCAAGATACACTATCCAAGGCGTCAGAGTTTGGCCATTTCAAGGTGCCTGCATGGTTGTCACTTACCGCCTGGCTATTGGTAGCCTTGTCCCAGCAGCGAGTCGTATCAGAGCCCGGCTCGCAGAATTGCAGAGCGACCTGAATGTTGGGTCTCTCTCTGTTGAAGCAGTTGCACATGTAAGCCGAGATAGCGCTGGGAGCCCTTTGAGAACAAAAATTGTTAGCGATTGTTTAGACTTTATTGCGGCGATGTGGTCTTACAAGATGGCGAGAGTGATTGATGTAATGAGCTTCATGGTTAAGATTGTAAATGATGAACGATGGTTATTCAGTAGCGAGAAGAAGAATATGAAGTGCATTGTATTCAGTGGTTCACAACAGGAAGGCTCGATGGCCGTCTTGGCTTTATAGAGAAACCAGGTGTGTTCATCATGTTTCATGAAAACTGATGACTTTCCTATTTCATCAATCGCACCGCCAGCCTTCATCTCGGACCAACATCTTCGGACAAGTCCTTCTTTCAAATCCGTCTTGATATTGCTATTGAGCAGCAGATAGCTGATGCTTTCCCACTAGTAACGAGGCCGAGATGAGACACCCGCGATGATTGAGGCTGATTCTACGTCGTCAAAATGGGAAGTTTCCTAGTCTGGACGAACTTCACACAGACGTTCCAGAAAGATTGGCGGAACTCAGTAAAGCTTAAAATCGGGTTGCCTAAAGCACGATAAATGATGACAGAAAGCTTGAGTTTGCGACTAGCGACTCAGGTGTCCGCCGGCCGATCGAGCTGCTGGGGATGCGGAATAACTTGGCTCAATATTGCGAAAAGTATGGGTGAAATCGTTGTTGATTCGGTTGTATAAAGACGCAATGAAGGCCACAACATTGAGCATTCTTTCTTCATCCACAGCATCCCAACAGCTCAGCAGCAAATCAATCGTTTACTACCCAAAGTCACGCTTTCCTACCACCATGAAGCCTACTTCAGCCCTCGTCACTATCGTGGCTCTCCTCGGAGGTCACGCCGCTTCCCTCCCGACGGAGCCCAGCACCCAGAACAACGCCCGAGAGATCACTGATGTCCAGTCTCGTAAGTCAGATTCGCAGTATCACATATAGGGAGTAGCACTGAGAATCAAGTAGTTCCCGCCCGCGAGTACGCCGTCGAGGAGTCTGTTGGCATTACTATCCACTTCGATGATACCGCCGGTAAGCTCAACCCTCTCCTTTTACACAGCAACGTCGCTAACACATCTGAAAGCCGTGGACAAGCGCGACTCTGAGCTTGAGACCCGCGCGTCTCACCCCCAACGCGCGCTTCAGCGCCAACTTCTACCCCAAGTTCCACACCGCCGCGCGCCCCTTTGCGCAGGCCATCACCATCGGTGGTCACGCCTACATCATGCAGGCCTGGGTTGACCTCCAGAATCGCATCAACATCATGGTCGATGCTGCTTTCCCCGGTATGCTCCCGTTCTAATGGCTCGATTATAACACCTTGACTAACAATATGTCAGGTGTTCCTGCGCCCACTGCTGGAGTTTCCAACAAGCACGCGGCGTTTGCGGTCCTCCCCCACTTGTGGACGCTTGGAACGACCTACTTCGCCCAGGATACCGGCGTCGATTTTGAGCCCGGTGATGCCTGGGCTTTCTTCTGGTACCCTTAAACTGGTCGTGGTCGTACCTGCTGGGTTCGTGGGTGCCTGGAGACAGTAGCTCAACACCTTTCTGTATCCGTAGCAACTTACGCCATCGGTCCGACGCACCTCAGCATAAGATACACTACTTTGAAGTCACTTATTTGAGTTGGTACATGTAAACGGGGGACCCTGGTAGTTTAAGTTGATTCAAGGAAGCCATTTGGGCCAATAACAGTTATTGTACTTCACATATGGCAGCAATACAGGTGACCTCCACAAGTGCACGAGTCAAATATCAAAGCAGATTCCTAGTTGCGGCTTTCTCTGTGTCACAGCCAATGAATCTTCCATCATTAAAAGCTCTAAAGATCCATTTATCGAGGGGAAAGATGTCACAGCCACGTTCGCGAGGCTGAAAGTAATGTCAAACAGCCAAACAGCGGTCAATTTGCTAAGAATAGTTCACTCGAAATCTGAGCCAACGATCTAGATCATAGACCGCAGGTCACATTGCGCGTACAACGAAAAGCCTTCTGGCGAGGCGATGACTAGCATCTTGGCGCGTTGCGTGGACTGGCGGGGAAGATCAGCAGACCTGCAGCACCACGATCGACGAGACTCATGAAGCTCTTTGGAACTTGGACAAGTTTCCACGCGCCTCTCACTCTCCACTAGATGGCAAGACAAAAAAAATAAAGAAATGTCGCAGCTTCTTCATTGCCTGCCGAAAGTCAATTCGTCGAGTGTTATTTGCAGTGGAATCCACATGTTGGTGCAAATTTCAGCGTGCCAAGACATGAAGTGCATGTTGAAGGTCCTAAATTTAGCATCCGCACCTCCTGTCAAGCTTCACAGACCCAGTCCAGCTGAGGAGAAGAGGCACAACAAAAAGGTCCGCCTGCCCGCCCCGCTGCGACGCTGTTCTCCAGCCTCCCTAGGCTGTGGGTGGTTTTGGGGAGGGGCAACAGGAGAATCCAGTCAATTGCAACGCCTGGAAAGAACATTCTCTATCCGCTGCAACAAGCCGCTGCGTTGATTTGCCAAAAGCCCCGGGGACAGGACGCGGTGTCGATCATCCGTAGGCCGGCGTCATCCGGTGGCACACTGTACAACCCCCTCGCGCAGGGAAGCACCCTACCCAAGCTTTCCGCAGCACAGCGAACAAGAGTCGAGAGAATGTTGGGGCTTGCTCCATCTCCGCGGCCATGCGCCAAGAGGACAGTGTGAAACATGGACAGCTCACAATCAGATATTTTTTTCCGGGCGGAGCGTGGCGGACACTAAGGCCGCTGTGAGATTGGGCCACGGCGAGAGAGATGCGTGTTCGTCGTGGCTCTGCTAGTCTTGGCGGGGATATGCCGGCGGCGAGTGGTTGTCGTCTCAAGTGATGGGCCGAACCTAAGTTTTTTGGGTTGGATGACAGGCGCAAAACATGTTTCTTCATGATGGGTTGCTGAAGCTGCTCTGCTGTCTTCCGTTCGTTCACGGCGATGCGATTGTCGCGGACGCGTGTTCCTGCATCTGGGCAATTGCCGTCTACCAAGTGACAGCGAGGAACGATTCTATTTTTCGACCATCTTGTATCGTTGTAATAGAGAGTTTGTAAAATGTCTTGGCGCCTCCTGTCAGCCCTCCGGGGTCCTGTCCGGCACCCAGCCGGCATTACCCAGCCATGAGCGCTCAGGTTCCGGTCATCTCCGCGAAAACAATGCTGCCGATTGAGGCACGCGACACATTCCCTCTTTGGGCCTTCGCAGAATGCTGCACTGTAAAAGACAGTATCCGTTCTCTACATACTGACCACTCTGTGTCAGTAGTGCCTATCGCTGCCGCAAGGGGACAACAGGGGGTCCAGTGTATCGCATTAAGCTTTCCTGGGGATTCGGGGCTCTCGGGTGGGCAGCAACAAGCTTGAAAAGAAACGCGAAATTCAGGGCATCCGCAACATGGCCCAACAAGGTTGACGGGAGCACATAGGCAGTGTTTATCTTAGGTAATTGTACTCTCTACTGAATAACAACACTCTCTACGGTGGGTTTCACTTTCACGCAGCGAGAACTACCGGTACAACAGAATCATTACCTAGTATACCACAGCCGGGATGCTGAGTCGTCGATTGAGGCTGGGGCATCTGTGAGCGTTTCTTGGCTTTGCTCATCGGAACTCCACTTTTGAATAGCTGCAATTTTGAGTGGGAGGGCGCTGGATGGGCCAAGATGGAGACCGTCGACGCCAAGAAACCAACCAAGACCCAAGCCTCCAAGTGACGATGAGCGGCGGTCGCTGCCCGAGACATTGCTCTGCCGCTTGTGTTGTTTGATTTTCTTCTCTCCCCCTGTGTTTGTGTTTCGAGAAGGCTTCCTAGGAGAATCTGGATAAGGTTATATATCAAGCATCATCCCGCCCCTTGCTTGCCGTTTACTCTCATCACCATCAGTCTCATAGTCTCAAGCAAGCCTCACTTACACACATCCACACATCCACACACCAAAGGTCTTACAGCACCAGCAAACACCGCCAAGATGCACTTCTCCCACGTCGCCCTCTCCCTCGTCGCCGCCGCCTTCGTCCAGGCCGACCTCCAGCTCGACAGCGACGACATCCCCAGCCAGTGCCGCGCCGTCTGCAACCCCATCTACGAGCTCGGCCGCACCTGCGAGGTCGACGACGACCAGGTCACCGACGACCTGACCGAGGACCGCCTCGAGGCGCAGTGCGTGTGCACCAACTCCAGCATCAACGTCTCGTCCTACGCCGCCCTCTGCGCGAGCTGCATGGACCAGAACGTCACCGACCGCGACGACCTCGATGGTAAGTTACTTCACTGTCTTTGAACCTTAGAGAGTGACTGCTCACACGAACATCATAGACATCAACGACATCCTGAGGACCTGCGGCTTCGCCAGCACGACGTACACCTCCACCGCGTCCTACGCCTCAACCACCCCCTCCGTCACTGCCACCCGGCCCACTGCTTCTTCGCAGCTGACGACCACCATCACGCCCGGCGCCGCCGGTGGCAGTGGATCCTCGCCGACGTCGTCCGGCAGCGGCAGCGGCAACAGCAACAGCAGCCCCACCACCACCAACGGCGGCTCCAGCAGCGCCACGCAGACCCCGAACGCCGCGGGCGTTGTCTCGCCCAAGGGCCTTGGGTTGATTGGTGCCGCCGCCGTTGGTGCCCTGCTTTTGTAATTGGGGGTTTTTGGCATGAGTTACTTGTTCTTCACGATGATGTCTAGTTGAAAGATTCTTTCTTTTTCTGGGGGGTTTTAGGGTTGTGGCGCTATGATGATACCTCAGCACTTACTGTCGCTTCTGATGATTTTACATGGTTTCGGTGATTCACTGGGGGTTGTTCCCCGGTTTACCGAGGAATAATAACGAATTTTTGAATCAATTTTTGAGTATGTCTCGGGTGAATCGATGTGTCTCTCGTGCGGGTTACCATCCGAGGTCTCGGTGCTGTCTTTCGGGCTGAGTCAATGCCGACATTTGATCCATCATCTATTCACCGAGCGGCAACCTCATGATCGATGTCTCGGTCCACATGGCGGTGAATCGCAAAACGGTGCTTAAAAGTATATAAAATAACTTGCTAAGCAGTCGAGCGACTCTTGCTCATTATCGATAACGCACAATTTCACATCATCACCTACAAAGCTCGTCAACTTTCTCTCATGCGCCCCAACCCCAGCGCCAACTTATTACGCTCGCGAACGCTCTCATGCCGCGAGATCAACGACATGAAATCTCAAGTAGGCACTACACCCAAGCTTTGCGGCTGCTTCTGCGGGTGCACGGCCAAGGTCTTCTTTGGCGAGGATAAATGCAATGGGTGCGCCAAGGGGTTCCATGACGATGGAAAGACGCCGCCTGGTGTGCCGAAGGTTGAAAAATAACGGTCACGACGGCGACGGGGATAGTCGGTAGTTGTCAAAAACACACTTCTGCAGCGTACACGCATTGATTATAACCCATATTCCGCACAATCTTGAACTATGATATCGCAAGATGAGACAAGCCGAATGTTAAAGTGAAGTTTTGTTCTATTTAAAGGTATAATGTTCGAAAGGCGGTATCTCTGCAAACACAAGCTACAAATGAAAAACAGTAACAGTCCTACCAACGCCTCATTCAACCTCTCTCCATCTCTTCTCCAGCTTTTCAATAACAAGGGCCTTCGACCCAGAAACCAGCCCAGCCGCAAGCGATGCAGGCTGCTGACTCGCACCTGAAAACGCACCCTTGATCGAGATATCATGCACACTACCCGTCGGCGAGCCAGCAACATTCGACAACCGCCGTCTCCCCAGCGCCATCTGCGCCTCGTCGATCGCCTCCCGAATCACAGGCACCGTCTCGACATACACCTCCCTCCTCTTCCTCGACGCCTTCAACAACTCCGCCGGGTCCCCCTTGGCACACGCCTCCACATACAGCGCGCGCATGCGCGGCGAGTACATCTCGCACATCAAACTCACAGGCGCGGTCTCGCCCTTCAGCTGCATGCGCGGCGCAAGCGCGGTCCCGCGCGCAAACTCGTGGTAGCACGCCGGGCAGATGGTGCAGTCCTTCCAGCCGTACCAGCGCCGGTTCTGGGCGTCCTCGTCGCGCGGGCAGAGCGGCAGGCTCGCGAACTCGAGGGCGTAGGTCTCGAGCGGGCGCGTGTCGGCGATGAAGAAGCCCTCGAGCAGCTTGGCGAGGTAGGCCGCGAAACGCGGGGAGGCGGCCGGGTTGAGCGCGCAGAGGTGCGTGGTGCCCGCGGCGACGCCGCACGTGGGCACGAGGGAGGCGGCAAGACCGAGGGGCTCGGCGACGGTCGCCACGCAGGCGGCGCAGATGGAGAAGGACGGCGGGTGCGAGGGGAAGGTGTACCATGTCCCGTCGCGGATGCCGGCCGGGGAGCAGAAGTCGGCGTGGACGGCGGTGTCGAGGGCTTTCCAGAAGATGGCGAAGTCGCGGGTCTCCTGGGCGCGGGACATGGCGATGCCGATGTTGAAGTGGCCGAGGGTGCAGTGGACCAT